GTGGGGTTTTAGGGGGGTTGTTTTTTTAAGTGGTGATGTGCATTTCTCAGTTCTCAGTCAATCAACCCAGAGATACTCAGCTTGTCAGTGCTTTATAAAAATAGTCCAGGAAAGGCACCCTGCCAGGTAGAGTCACAACTTGGAATGCAAAAGTGGCATGGCAGTGAGCTCCTGACTTTCCAGCAGATTTCCTGAAGAAAGCTGGTGTGGGATTTCCAGGTGTACGTGGCAGCTGAGGAACAATGTTCTCATATGGTGTCAATTCATGGCTCCTCCATACCTCCTGTCCCCTTGTCCAGCAGATGGAAAACTGAAAACTGAGAACACTGTTTGTTTTCCCCACTGTTTGTCACTCCAGGTTATTTAAATTGTAGGCTCCACAGACCTGGAATGAGCCTTCTAGTTATGTAAAGCTACTGCCAAGCTAGAGCCCAGGGACCTTGGAGGTCTCTAGCTGCTAATAGAACACAAATAATAATGGGACTTGCAGTACCAGACAATTTTTTTTTGTGCCCTTGCCCTTTCCCTTCCTCCCAAAGTAACCTTTTCCATAAAGACTGTGGTTGGTGTTCATTTCCTATTGCTTAGACATACAGGGTCTGAATTGCCTGCAAGAGCTGGAAGGGGACAGTGCTCATGACAAATCAATTTGCTGATATCTGAAATAACTAAGCAAGTAACACCAGGCTTCAGTCCTATTTTAAACCAGCAGTGTGCTGTTTGTTTTTGCATTTCTCTGCCTGCAGTAGATGGGTATCTCTAAACAAAGGAGGTAGAGTGATTGAGGAGCTTCTTTTTAAGGAAACGTCTCCGAAGAATATTAGCCTATTCCCCTGTTTCCACCTTTGCATACCTCTCCTTCACACACCCCCACCTTTTTTTGGTTGCTTTTCCCTGAGGAAGATAGAGATAATAAAATTTTCTATTGTCATTTAGCTTTCCAGATGATCTTTGTGTACTTTGCCAGACTGCAGCCTAGAAAACAAAGCCTCATTTATTGCCTACCAGCATATACATGTTTTATGAATAATGTGATGTATTTGTAATACGTGGGACTGATAATAGATAGGGAGATCAAAGTCTTCTGTGAATTGACAGCAGCACTATAAACAAGGTGATAGGGTTGCAGGTGTTTCTCACACAGGTGTTATACAAAAGCATATGGCCCTTTGCCATGATTTACTGCACGCACACTCCATCTTTTCCTATGTGACAGGGCAGTGTTGCTGTGAGCTATTCTCAGAGAGCACAGCCATGGCTCAGGACATGTTGACAGCAGATGACTGCAGTGTAGCCAGAATGATCTTGGGGACACAGAAAGGATAATGCTAAATTGGTCCTTCAAATTAAAAGTAGCTGATTGATCATCTACATTGCCTAAGGAACAGAAATCTGTATTCCTGAGGGGTCCCTTGCAAACACTGGAAACAGAGGTGATGCTCTTGGGTGTTGCAGGAGCTACTGGATAGTCCAATGTGCTGCTTGTGTCACTGCTCCTACCTCAGCTCATAGTTGGACTTACAGGCATCACTTATCTCCATGTTAAGTTACCTTCATAGTAACTTCTTTGGCTGTGACCATAGCAGACACTAGGAGTTGGACTGGGACACCTGTGCCGTATATCTGCAGAAAGCAATGGTGGTGCAAGCCCAAACCAGCAGAAATCATTGCTAGATTGCTGTTTATTCTTGCAAATTGAAGAAAAGGCGTGTTTATGAAATGACTAAGGAGAACTGCAGCATCTTGAGTGAAACCTGAACTCAAGTCTCTGCCCTTTTCATCAATTGCCGTAAGACTAGTGCTTGTCTGCTTTTAGAAACGAAACTGGTGCAGTTGAGTGCGTCAGGTATTTGTATCCTCTTTAGTTATTAAAACACTCTGGATGCAGATTAACTTCCTTTGCTTAGTATACTATAACTTAACCATGCCTTGATCTGCAAGTCCTTTGTTAAACCCACTGGAGGGTAGCCTGCTTTTTCTGCAACTTCTGAAATGTATTTTTACCAGTATGACGGTGTTACCAATGATTCCCCATGTGGACAGAGTTGTATCTCTCTGAGGATGCCATACTACTATTCATGCATTCTTTTTTTTCTGCAGCAATGAGCTAGATAGTCCCAAGTGTTTGCATTATACCTGGAACGCCCTATGTGAAAATATTATGAAGGTTTGGGTCGGGCAGTGTAATGGTATTGTATCACTCTAGGTAAAGGCAGGACTTCTGTGTGTGGACAAGCCCTGTGAAAAGATTAGCCTAGAGAAAGTTAATAAAAAGTACTGTCCTAAATTATTCATGAATCCATTTGTAATGTGCTTGCTGGGAGGCTTTTGTTTTTCTCAAACTTTTATTTATTAAAATCTGACAAGAATATCGGGTTTTGTTCAATAATAAATCTAAGCCCATGTGAGACTGGTGATATCCTCATGTAGTAATACAGAATCAAAATGAAGTTACATGGCAGGGGTGAATACGTTATTTACTTGGAAAGAAGAGATTATTGTTCAGGAGGATTTTATCTTTTACTTGCCATTTCAGAACAAGTGGGAAAAAAAATAACAAACCACAAAAACTAGTTGGGAATAGTTTCTTGGTTTGTGACTGAGGCCTTATTTTTGCAAAGGATTTTAAATATATTAAAGCTCAGTTGAACATCTTCCTGGTGGCTTTGCGGGTTCTGGACCTGTTTGGTAAATGAAATAGCTCAGATGGTTTTGTTTCATGCTTAGCTCTATTTGTCCTGTTCTGTTAACTTCAAGGCAAGATCATGGAAGTCATGCTTCTAGCCTGTGGATTTTGACTTGCAAAGCAGGTCCATACACACAGTCTTCTTTTTGTGTCCTAGAAAAGGTTAGAAAGATTATATACAGAAAGTAGAACAGTCGGAAAAAAGCAAGGAAGAGAGCTTTTGCTGTTTGGGATACAATAAAAGATGATAGTCTGTGTCTACTTTAGAGCAGGCATTCTTTAAAAGCAGGCAGAACTTTGTTTAAAAAACAAATATTTTTTTTCAGTATTTTCAGTTTATTAATTTAAGGGGATTTTTTTTCCTGTTCTTTTTCTCTGCCCTTATTTATAAATGGATAAAGAATGGAAAAAGAGGTATCTATAGATAGAAACTTAGAGAAGAGTCAATAAAAAAGAAGGAGCTTAGTTGTGGAAGCAGAACTGGGAGTTTGGGTGACTGGTCTGAGTTGGAGAATGATGAATAGGTTTGTTTACATAAGCTTGGCTTGTGAGTCATTTTCCCATAAAAGCAGCTCGAGTGAAAGATGCTCCTGTCCCAAATTTTAGTCCTGAGTGCTTTCACGCACAGAGTGCACTGTGACATAAGGACTCCAACTGTGAGTACTGCCCTCTTATTCCAGTGGGCTGGAGCTGGAGCTCTGCAACCTCCCAGGGCTGAAATAAACTAGAAGTGTCTGTCTCTGTCTCACACACACATGTGCTTTGCATAATGCCTTTTGGTGGTCAGAGTTAAGATATCTGGGTATCTTCTGATTCAGATTTGGAATCTGGTAATAGAGATTTGGTTCCTGTGAAAAGCTGTGTGTTGGAAGACCATCAGTCATTAACTACTAAATGAGACCAGGAACTCTGTAAGCTTGGAGAAGTGAAGAGAAAAGCAATGTGTGAGTGTGAGAGGTCAGTATCCGTGGCCGAATAGGTTTGGAGTGGTGCAGGTCTTCACCTCTAATGCCAGAGAAGTTGTACAAAGTGCATGTGGAAGGGTCACGTAGGGCATTATCTGCTTTTACCAAAGACTGTGATCAAAGCAGTCTTTCTTATGCACCTATTAGGAATCTAAAGAGAAGTTTAACCATTAACAGACAGCTACTTTGCTGTGGCTTACCAAACTGGGAGAGGTGAAGAAGGTTTATTTTAATAGACCACCTGTATCTAAGGTACAAGTGAAGCCTATGGATTGAATTTGGGAAATAAAAGTTCCCTTTGCAAACCCACCAGAAAAGAAAAGAACATCTCTTCCTGAAGAGAACTATTTTCTTGTTCTTTTCTGTTGTTTGTTGTGAGTTTTGGTGGAACAGGGGTCAAGGTGGACTGTTTTGGAATCGAGATATCTGTCTGACTTGTTTGCCCTCAGTGAAATCAGTGCTGCTGCAGCTTCATTGCCATGGGAACCTCCAGTTGCTAAATTTAATTCAGCCCAGGGTTTGCTTGTCTGTTCTGTTGCTGCAATGTAGACAGGTGATAAGCAATATATTGATATTAAGCTAGATCATACTAAAATGGTTAGCCAACAATATTGCCACAGTATTGCAGCATCTGTGGTATTGCTTTTGTGTTCTGCTCTGAGATGCCTGTCCCTCCTGTGCCTGCCTTCAGCCTACTCTTTCTCTGTCCTGGCAGAGCAAAGGCAGCACAACCTGTGTAGTCTTTCTGGTCCAGCAATTGGCAAAGGTGGTGACTGTAGCAACCTTTGCTTGCTGGTGGTACTTCTTCCTCTTCCTCTAGAGAGGCTGAGCCTGGAGTGCCCATGGGAGCTGGGGAGAATGCTGCTGGACAGGGGCCCTCTGCACCCTTAGGATTTGTGGGGTGGGGGTAGGTCCCAGGGCTTTGCCATGGAAAAACATTTCATGTGGCTAACTGCAAGATAATCCGTTCTGTAGGTCTGTTGTGATTGTTCGGGTTGTTGGTTTCTAATGTTTTGCCTCCCTGTAGTTTGGCTTAGTGATACTACATCACCTTATACAGAATTCACAGTGAACATAGAGTGTGTAAACCTTTACTTTTAAATGTTGGCTGAGTATTGATTAATCAGTAAAAGGTTTTAAGCTGTTTCATTTAAATTCCAGGACTATGCATCTTAATTTAATAGTTGAGAAGAGATGGGAAAAGGTACTGCTTTACCCAAGAGAATGTACTTAATGTGATACTTGTTCATGGCAAGCATTTTCAAGCCAGAAGAGGTATCTTAGGGAAGGAGATGGTTCTCTGGCAGTTATTATCTGCTAAAATGACTCTCTGCTTTCTTTCTTTGTAGGTATTATATTGGTCGCCAGATGTTTGTGGTGGTGTCCACACCAGAGATGATCAAGCAAATCCTAGTGACAGACTTCAGTAACTTCACCAACAGAACTGTAAGTAGATAAAAAGGTTGGCTTTGTGGATGGAGTTGGTAGTACTGCTAATTTTGAGCTCAGACCAAAAGTGACTGCAAGGGAGCTGGAAATAGAGATGGAAAAGTACAGCATGGTTCAATAAGACTTCAAGCTATATAAACTCAGCATATTCAGTCAAAGACTCCTGCTACCAGGATATTCTGAGGATGAAAGAGAATGTCCTTAAAAGGGATGCACTGCCCTTGTGACTAAAGCACTAGATGGATGCTGAAGAGAGGGTTTAAATACCCAGTTTTGCAACTGACCTCCTATGAAATCCTGGGAAAATCGCTTACCAGCTCTCTTTCTCCATTCTCAGTCTGTAACATGGGGGCAGTATCACTTGCTTTCACCCACCCATGGTCTCTTCTGTGCTTTGAGACTTTCTAGGGCAGGAGCAGGCTGCTTTGGACAGGGATTTGCCTTCCACAGCTACCGTATGTTGCTTTGTCATGCTTATCGCTCAGAAAATAATAAATAGCAAAGAATGAAGCCGGAGTTAGGAAGAACTCATATGTATGCCATTTATGTATTAAAAAGCTCTTTTTCAGGCACTGGTTAGAACAAATAATGAGGGGTAACGGCCAGAGGGATCATGAAGATTTCCAGCAGTTGCTTGGCATTTTACAATGAAATACTATCATTGTGGCCACACGCTGCCTCAGTGCCATCCATTCCCTGCTTCCTCCTGGTCCCTTTGTATGCTCAAGTCCACTCAAATAAACTCGCGTGTATTCAGGAGGGTTGTTTGTGCCCTCAGGGAAAATTTCATCTCTGATGAGCTGTCTGTCTCCCTGCCCCTCTGATCCTCCCTGCAACAAGTCAGTCTGTTTGCAGACTGCTTTTCTCCTTTGCTTTGCTTCTTTTGGTACATGAGGTTCATCTTGTGACTACCTGTATCTTGCTTAATAACCACTTGTACCAGTCACCCTGTGTTCTGTCTGTAGCTCATATCTGAATGGAAGTATCCCAGTGTGCAAGCTTCTTAGACTGAAGCTGTGTGTGTGGCAAGGGTCTTTTCCTCATTTTCATTTTTGAAGGCATTTCCTACCTCTTCCCTTCTTCCACCCTCACGAAGGTGGCCTATTTCCTTCCGTCTAGAACTTTTCCCTTGCTTTTCTCTTGTGTATTCGATAGGAGTAGATGTATCCAGTGTTCATAGCAGTAGCTGATGCCCAAATAACACCTCCCTGAAATTACAGAGTATTCCTTTGAGGGTACATTCAGATATTTTTTCTTCTCTTAATTTTAGTCACATCTGTCATTTGAGTGTTTCTGTCTGTGCACTGCCACCCTTCCTAGTTTGCAAAATCTTTATTGGTCAGTGTTTATCTCCCTTTCTTGTGGTTGTACCCCCATCTGTCATGGTCTGCAATATTTGTGTTCCTCTCTAAAATTCAGGTGGGTCAGGTCAATATAGCTAGTCTCTCTCCTTTTTTCTTCATCAGGGATCTGTTTAAGTATAGCTGTCTGTGTAAGTTCATATCTTTCCCTTTTTACTTGACTGTTCCCTGAACCATTTGTGGCTTTTCTGCACAGCCTCCTGCTCTATCGATGAGGCACAGACTGAGAGACATCACTGCCACTAACCAGAAAGCCCATGGCAGATGAAAAAATCTTACTCCTAGCCCTGTCTTTAACAAAATGATTTTTCCCCCTGTGCACTGTTGCTATTTCTGGCTTGCTGAATGCTCATGAGTCTAATTCAAATGAACTTGCTTCATCTTACATGCTTTTATCTGCTTGTTCTATGGTCCTCTCACACAGCTGCAATCTTTGAGCATTGTTATTTCTCGCTTTCCACTTTGTTCCCCCTCTTCCAGCCATTGCTTACACTTACTGAAGGTAAGCAGCCTTCTGGTTTTGGCTCTTTCCACATCTAACCCAGGGATCTTTTTCCCCTCTTGAATATTGACATTGGAAGCTGCCTCTCCTCTTTAATTCTCAATCACATGCTTATTGTTTCAGCCTAAAGCCTGGTTTTTGTTGCTTGGTTTGGTTTGTTTTTTTTTAATTTAGTTTATGAGCGTCAGTCTTTAAGGGTGAGAAGGAGGGGAGAAAGGGGTGAGACTACTGAATTTGAGTAGCCTTGGGAATATTCACTGTGCTTTTATTTCCATCCCCACTTCCCCAAATGCATTTCCAAAATCAAGATTTGTACTTCATCCGCCATAGGTGAGATGTGATTTATTTAACCCAGAATGCCACAAAGAGTGATTATTCACCACACTCTGTAGCAGTTGTAGAATCATACATTAACAAAGTATCACTGAGTTGCAGGATGTGCAGGACTAATTCTCAAAGCTAAGTGCTAAAAAAAGTTTCTATTTGATGTTTATTTAGCTGCTTTTCAATTAATCTTGAAATATGTCTATATTAGAGTAAGAGATGATGGGAAACTGAACTTGTGAAGGGTTGCAAACAGTGGATGTACTTAGGCTGAAGTGGGTAAGATGATGATTCAGTGAAATTTGGGCTTTTATTAAAGCTGTCTATAATGTGATAGTCTTGCCTTTGAGTGTTCATAAGAATAACCTTAATCTGAGATTGTGCACTTGCAGGCTGCTTGCTGGGAAGTCATCAGAAGACCTTTATGGAATCGGGGTAGTTTTAATCTGTTGAGAGGACTCTCTTGGATCCTTATGTACTGTCTCTGCATCCAGAGAGACCTTGACTACTTGTACACTTCTCACATTGGACCTACCTGCTCATTATATAGACAAAGTAGATTTTCCCTGTGAACAGAAGCCAAATTCCATGCAGTTATGCTTCCCTTTGGTATTATACAGCTTGCATCTTGAGTATTTGTATCTTTTGAACATTGCTGTAAAAAGCCTTTTAGGTGCCTTTGCCCTTTTTTGTTGTTTCTGAGTTACTGATTAGTAATTCTTGTGACAGAAGTATGTGGTGACTGCAGATCAAATCTGCATTAAGGTTCACTTATTTTTAGAACAAGTAACAAAGTCCAGCATGCAGGGTGCTCTTCTCCTGTAGGCATGGGGTATATTTATTGTTAACTGCATAATCACAGGAAAGCAATAATGATATTCTACTTTCCCACTTAATTTTGACTTGATTAATGTGAGCATTGTAGCCATTAGAAAACAAAAATTTCTGCTGTAATGTACCTTCATACTTGAGGCATACAAAGCCTTTTCCTTATGTTTTTAATTATAGTAGAAGAAGAAAAATGAAAATTAGCTTTAGACCTTCTGCCAAAAAAAATATGGAATTAATTTTAATTTAGATTAACCATGGAAACCTCAGCCAGCATTCTAGGCAGGGCTGTGCTGCAGTAAATTGTACCTTTTTCTCACAACTATGTAAGTCATCTCTTGAATGGAACTTTTCTTTTAAAAGCACTAAGACCATTTTTAGCTGCATTTCTGTGTTATGAGATAGGTTTATGATGCTTGTTGTATTCTGCCAGGCAGAATAATGATATAAAATCTGTTTCAGATTGTTTTTAATTTCTGTGTTGAAAATTTGTTTTGAATTAGTAGTTGAGAATCATTAGTGTACTTTTAAAAATGTAGGAGCAGAATTTTATGAGGAAGCAATGTGAAAAGAGACGTTACCTGGTATGTAATTTAAATGATTCAGAAGTTGTAGGCCACAGTACTTGCTAAAAATGGGAATCACTGATCCCTGTGGCAAAGGTGGGTACTGGCTAGTAAAGGTTTGCCAGGCTGCTGGAGTCACTGCTCTGCCAGGGTTCATGTGGCTATCACAAGTGGAAACTAGTAGTTGGTCCAGACCAAATTTTTAAACCTGCAAGCCAACCAGCTGGAGGAGGGTGACAGTTTTAAAATGAAAAATCTACTCCAGTTCCAGCAGCTGTAAGGAAACAGCACTGTTTTCTCATCAGGAGCTTTGCTGCGGTGGAAAAAATAACAATGGATTAACCACAAATAATAATGAAGTGGTAAAAGTAAGAACAAAAACCTAGCATGGAAATTGATATAATGTCAGTACAAACTCCTTGTTATCCCTCCTGAAGGAAAAGTGAGTTGACCAAGCCTGTTTTCTTTTTGCTTGTCTATCCTTCCTCTTCCTCCTCTCCTGGTTCATCCATGTGGGATATTATTCTTTTCACATGTAGAATTTGCCTGTTACACTAAGCTGTTTGCTTTATTTTGATAAATTTGTACAGCTTCAGGCCAACATGTGGCATAAATAAATAAAATACAACCACCAAATAGGAAGGAACATATTTTCTGCATCTTGTTCAGCTCTGGTCCAGGATGGCTGACACATCCCCACATCAGCTGTTCTTTTTGGTCTCTTGCTAGGGGACATGGTACCAGCAAGAAAAGTGTCTGTATATTGCTCTATCAAAAGGCCTTTAAATATTCAATACAAGATGCCCTCCAGAGGTCCCTTCCAACCATCCTGTAATTCTGTGAATTTTGGATCAGGCCCTCAGCCAGCGTAAATCAACATACTTCCACTAACTTCAGATGACCCTATACCAACTGATAGCAATTATGTATCTCCAGAGTGGGACTGAGATGCAAATGGGCTTTAAACAGCTCACTGTGGCGCCTCAGCAACTGATATACATGTGTATGTGCTCAAGGCCTTTGCAAGTAAATGGCTGCTGTGTGTCTTGAGCAAGGTCTGTCTTGATGTTTTCCAACTTGAGTATTAGAGTACAGGCATTGCCTATAAGCAGCAGCCCTACTGATGTGCTGTCTTTCAGTAAACAGTTGTAATTCAGTTGTGTATACACAGTCTGAACCAGTTTATAGGCTGGGCTGTTTCTTCAGTCCCCCTCTCAAAAATACATTTTTTTGTTTTGAAGAATAAACCCACTAACATATTTGTTTGAAGACGTGTAATGTAACAAACAGTTAAGGAATGAAAAGCTGTGTACTGTTGCCGAAAGACTTATATACGTGGTATCTTGACCCTGTATCCTTGGTTGTTTGCTTTAGAAATGTTTCTTTTCTTCAAATTAAACATCCTAGGATTATTTC